TAATGGCCCCAATTGTTATTGTTAGTCCTTTTGGTGATATCCACATCCAGTCCCTTTGAAGTATACTGAAGGAAGTGAGGGCCATAAAGCCCCTTTGTTCACCCCCTTCCCTTCATCGTATGACAGAATCCAGAGAAGGCAGAAATGGGGTTTTCCATAGTTGATAACTAGAGATGAAATATAATTGGATTCTGACAGTATATCAGATTGTGCTTGCTCAGCTCTCCTATTTTTTGGTATTCTGCACTTACAGGTAAATTGACATAAAGATGTTGCCATATATACTTGTGGACAAACCAAAAGTTTTAGGTGCCAAAATGCACCCCCAAAATTGGGTTCAGTTTATCTGCTGATGGGCTTATCTATGAGTTTATGCAGTAATACTTTTTTAAAGTATCTGTGTATCCTCTATATCACGGGTCTTCAAACTTGGCCCTTTTATGACTTGTGGACTTCAACTCCCAGAATTCCTCAGCCAGGCACGCTGGTTGAGGAATTCTGGGAGTTAAAGTCCACAAGTCATAAAAGGGCCAAGTTTGAAGACCCCTGCTCTATATACTCATTGATAAACCCATCCGTGGATAAGCTGACCCTCAAATTTTTAACAAAAGTAACATGAAAAATGTGCCACTGGCAGATAAACCAATTGTGAAAATTAAAACCTATGAAAATTTTGAGGGTCAGCTTATCTGCAGATGGGCTTATAAGCAAATATATATGGTCCTCCCTCCCTCCTCCCATTACATCACAACCTTAATAGTTAGAATAATCAGAGAGAAAACCTCTTTCATCTGTCAGAATGTTGGTGAGTTGGGGGACTTCCGGTGTGACGGCGCGCCGATGGCGGCTCTTTTCGGAGCCGTCCTCTTGGGAAGGCGTCAGAGCCAGCATGAACAGCGGTCAGCAGCTGTTCAGCGGCTTGGAACCTTGTGCCCCGGGAGAAGGGGTCGAGGTGAGTATTCCTGGATAGGAGTAGAGTCCCAAAAGCTCTCCCTTTATTTCGGGAGAGCGAAATTGGGTACTCCTCCGGAGTCCGGGAAATCTCCGCCTCCCAAGTGCCTTTGTTCCTTTTTTTTTGGGAACAAAGCCAGTCGCTGCCTCCACTGCTGAGAATTATAGAAAACTGTGAGTAAATAATAACCAGACGGAACTGACCAGGGGAAACTGGACTTGAGTAACTTAAGACTTTAACTCAATTTATTAACATCTTCTTTAAAGTTAAGTTGAATTGAGGGGAAAAAATGGCTGCGGTTTGCCGTTTTTTTTATAGATGAGAGTGACTTTCCTTTTTAACTTTCACTTTCTTGCAGTGTTGAATGAAGAGGGAAATTGTTACCCCTTCGCTTAAGGTTATAACTTTGATATATTTTTTCTTTGGGTTTATGGAAAGTTTTGGTGATAAATTTTTTTTCTTCCTTTAACGGAGAGAATTTTGGATTTGGATTTTGGATTTTTCCCCCTCTTTTTTTTTCTCCGAGGCTTGGATTAAAGAAGCTTGAAAACTGGTTTTGTTTAATGGAACTTCCGCTTTGTTTAAAGATCTTCAACAGTCTATAAGGATATAGAGAAGAGGCAGTGATGGACTCAGCTGTGACTTTGGGATGCAATTTTAATACTTACAGAAATGGAAAATTATGGTATTGCACCTCAAGGGAAGCAGTTGGGGGATATTATTGCTCTTTCTGGAAGGAGGGAGAAGTGGAAGAAAGCTGTAAAAGCGGAAACTGGATTGGAAACAACTAAAGAAAATCTACAAGGATACAGAGAAAAAGTAGTGACGGACTTAGCTGTGACTTTGGGATGCAATTTTAATACTTATAGAAATGGAAAGTTATGGTATTGCACTTCAAGGGAAGCAGTTGGGGGATATTGCTTATTTTTTAAGAGTATTTTGTAATGTTTATTATTTTAAAAGATCATTAATATTTGACTATGATATTAATTGAAGGGGTGATGGTATATTATATATAATTGTAGGGGTGACGGAATATATTACATATAATTGATAAATTGAAGACATGGCACAGTTTCTTGTATGATGAAGAGATTGGAGAGGATGGATTGGTTATACTTAGATAGATTATATTAGCTTATATTTGATTATCTTTTTATGAGTTAAAGTATGTTTACATTAGATTAGTTTATAATGGGTAGTTTTATATAGACTTGGGAAGATGAATGTTTAATCCTGTAATCAGTTCTGGGAAGTCCGGGGGGGTTAGGTGGGGATGGGGGTGGGAGGGAGTATAGAAATAGAGTTACTAGTATTGACTTAAGGGGAAGTAGGATATATTAAAATAATAATAGATTATTTATATGTATAACTGAGTTAATTATATTGAAATAATTTGAATTGTACAAATATGATTTTGTTTTGATTAATTGATGGCCTTGCCACCATGTAAAATAAAACTAATAAAAAATTTTTGTTAAAAAAAAAGAATGTTGGTGAGTTAGCCCATTATTTCATTGGGCTGGTAATTGGAGAATACTAGTGTTTTGCATGAAACAAGATTTTTTTTCAGACTTGACATTTTCCTTTTATCAGTTTATATGCCAACCATATCCCAGGTTTATTTGCAAACTCAAAATTCTTCTGTTTCACATACTTCAATTTTGTCTCTATTTCCTCTATTCCCCTTACAGTTAACATAGATCAGGCATGTCAAACTCGCGACGTCACATGACGTCGCGCAACGTATCGGGCCGGTTTTGCCATTGCCGGCAATGGGGTGGGTGCGGCTTCCACGTGACGCGTCCGGCCCGTGGGCCGGCAGTTTGACACCCCTGACATAGATTGTTGTAGAAGTTTATTCTGATATATAATAGTTGCATCTGTCAGTGTTGTGGAAGAATACGCTGCTCAGACAGTTGCCAGCACTTGTGTTACTTTTGTTCTTCCTCTTTAAGCCCTCTCCACAGCGGCAGCACGACAGAGTTGCCTATAAAAGCTTTACTATGAAACAACTGAAGGTTGGGGGGGGGGAAGAGAGAAGAGAGGTGTTTGTGTTTGAAACAAAGTAGCCTGAAAAAATGAGAAAGACTTCTTTTTTAACTCAATCATGTTGGATAAAAAAACCTCATAAAATCTTTACTGGCATCCCAAATGGTCTTTAACTCCCTCCCATTATCTAAGTTGTCAAAGAATTCAGTTTCTTCCTTCAGTCATCCACCGCCAAGTCTTTTTGTAATAACGCTTCATTTAGTCTCCATGTAAACGGTATAGAATTTTGCTTAAGTATCAAAGTGATAGGGTTGTGGTCAGAAGAAATCTTAGTGAAACCTCCGTCTTAGAGATCTTGTTTGCAAGATTGTTAGAAATCCATATATCAATTCTTGAAAAGGTTTTATGTTTTTCTGAAAAATAGGTATATTCCCTAGAAGTATCCTGCCTCTGTCTCCAAGTATCCACCAAGGGGAGATTGTCCATACATAAAGACTTCGATAATTTGCCTTGGTTTATTTCCTTATCTGAAGTTCTATCAAATTGTGAAGCAACTACTCCAGTCCCCCATCATGCAACAGTTCTCATATTAAAAATAGTCAGTTGGTCCCTAAGATGATTAAAGAACTTTGCTTTATCCGTATTTGGAACATAGACACCAACAGTTATAGATTTAATCCCTCGCATTTCAACCTCAACTGCAACATATCTACCATGTTCATTGGTCCATTATAATTTTGGTTTTAATTGTGGATTGTTGTGCAAAACTTCTTTATTAGTCTTTTTTAATCCCACTGATATAAATTCTTTGCCCAGAGACTTACAGGTCAAATACTTCCCATCTTTTTTCTTATGTGTGTTTCTTGTAAACAAATTATATCTTGTTTCAATTTTCTCAAATGGTGAAAAGTCTTTTCTTTCTTGAGGAGCATTTGCTCCATTTATATTCCATATTAAAAATTTGTAACCCATATTCAGGAGAAAAGTTTATCAAAGTCCTTAGCTTTAGCTCCCAAAGTAAAGTCCTATTTCTCAGTATCGTTAGTCAATTGCAGTCCTTGTGAATCTTTGTCAGCAGTCTCCATAAAGGTTTGATCCAGTTCTTCCTTGTTTTTTCTGGAAAGTCTTTAGCCTTTTGGACAGTCTATATCAGGCATGTCAAACTCGTGACGTCGCGTGACGTATCGTGACTTTTTCCCCATTGCCGGCAATGGGGTGGGTGCGGTTTCGGCATGACGCATCTGGCCCGTGGGCCGGCAGTTTGACATGCCTGGTCTATATCTTTGTTGAAAAGTAAAAATTACTCTCTCCAGCTTGTCCCAGCAAAGTGGAATCCTTTTCTGCTTCAAAATATCTGTTAGGAAGAAGTAATATTCCCTCTTGCACAGGATCCTAATAGGAATCTTCTTTAAAACAATGACATCAACATCAAACTTCAATCTTGCCTCAAAATGACATTGCAGAACTTGATCCCTTGTTCTTTTCCTCCGAAAATGTACCAAAACATTACTTGGTGGTTGTCTCATTGCAGCAAAAAATTGAGTTTAGGCAACAGACCTTGTCTAGCTCTCCCACCATCTGTTCCTCTTTCCAGCTCAGTAAATCAGCTAATGTCTGAACAAGCTTTTTTCATATATTTCATCCCACAGTCAGGGAGGGAAGGTATGTTGCAGACCCCATCAGTTAAAGAATTCTGATGGGGCAGGGTCCATGAAGACAATCTTCTCTGCCATTCCCCCACACTGTGGAATATTCTCCTCTTGGAGGTGAGGCGGCCCTCCACCCTCCTGGCCTTCCAGAAAGGAGTGAAAACATGGCTTTGCAGCCTTCTATGGGGAATTTTGATTAATTTTGATTTTGTGGACACCTAAGGGGGTCTTAGGGCAGGGCTTTTCAACTTTTCCACAGACTGTACCACTTTTAGGACATGACAATATTTGAGTACCACCAGTGCTTAGCAAGGTGTCAAAAACTTGATGACTAAAAAAAGGGGGGGGGATTTTGGGTTTTACTGATTAGATTCATTTGTTGTTATAGAAATGGCTAGTTTATAATATTATGGAAAAGTAAAAAGTTGAGGTTCAATGTTAATGCTTCCTTCTACTGCAACAGAGAAAGTCTGTTCTTTTTCCCTTCTCCCCCTCACTTTCCCCCCCTTTTTCCTCCCCACTGTGTCCTACTATTTGCTTTTGTATTTTTGTATTTTATTCTATAATTTAATAAAATATTACAAACTGTAGAAAAAAAGGAAAAAAGTACCAGTTTTAATTTCTTTGGTGGCTGTTCCTTTGCTGAATCACTTTCCCTTTGCACTGACAAATGTATGATGAATTTATCCATGTTTATTAATATGCACCACTACCAGCTAGCTCAGGGGTCTTCAAACTTGGTACTTTTAAGACTTGTGGACTTCAACTCCCAGAATTCCTCAGCCATCATGGCTGGATGAGGAATTCTGGGAGTTGAAGTCTACTGGTCTTAAAGTTGCTAAGTTTGTAGACCCCTGAGCTAGCTGGTCAGCCCTTCTTAGCTCTCCTTCCACAGTGTAGTAAGAATGAACCCCCCCCAATCCCTTCCCTGTACCCTTAAAGACACAGGAATCAAGTGCAAAGCAAGAAAGGCTCACAAAATAAAGAAACACATAAACTCCCGGGTTTTTTTCTTTAAGCTGCCTCAGGTATGTCACATGTCACAATGTTGCAATCCGAGACTGAAAGGCTCTGGCAATTGCGAAAAGCTTTAGCTTTAAAATTAAGCCTGTTTACCTTCAAAGAAAACTTTCTAAAAGCCATAGACAGACTCAAGATAAGGGGGTAAAACTAATTACATTTGTTTAAAGGGATTAAACCTACGGAAGTCAACACTTTGGACTCATTGCTAGCCTAAAATACAGACTAAAATATTCCAATAACCAAAGCACACAAAGGAGCCTCTGAATTACAAAACGTTGTAAAAACTGTACAAAAATCCTTATGGTAACCCAATCAAGCTGCCAGCTGATCCAGAACTAAATAAACCCACCTCCTTTCCGACATGCCGGCTTTTCATTTCATCAGTGCTGATTGCATTCTCCTGGCTGGAGAAAATGAACAAGGGGACCTTTTCTTCCAGCAACAGCTGCTGCTTCTTCTTCTCTGTCCCTGTTTCCTCCCTGCCGGCTGACCTCTCCTTCTCTTTCCCTGTTGTCTTTTTTTCCCTTTCCCGCCCAAACCACCTCCTTTTATAGCCTCTCTCCCCCCCCCTTTTTCTTCAGTTCACCTCCAGCTCCGTGCTGCTTCCGGAAGCACCAATTAGCTGGAGCCCTGACAGCTCCTGGGGCTTCTGCTGAACCCAGACAGTTCTGCAGCTGCCTCTCCCTCAGGCTTCGGTCGCTTCAGCTCATTCCCCTCCCCTGCTACACTTGGCTGGCAGTCGCGTACCACCTGCCATGTGGCAAAGTACCACAGGTGGTACGCGTACCACCGGTTGAAAAGCCCTATCTTAGGGGACCTAGGACCACACTTGTTTAACTCATAACCAGAAATACTGGTTCAACTCACATAAAAACAGTTTGAAAACTCAGCAAGTGGAAGGAAAAACATTCTGGTATACCGGATCAATCAAACATGATTGCAATCATAGTCTTTAATTTTTAATTTTTTGTTCTATTCTCACCGAAATAAAATAACCTCTACTATATAGACTATTTTATTTGTAATTGGTTCATTTAAGAATACATATTTCTAATTCCCTATACTTTTCACTTTCCAGGGGGCATACTTTGCATGGAAAGCAACTGCAATGGGAAAAAACTATGTAAATGGAAAAACATTCCTTGAGAAAAGGTAAATGATATATTAATACTCATAAAATTCTCTAATTTCTAGTAAATTATCATAGAACTTATAATCATTAATTCGTATTTGAATTTTCCAATTCTGGCTTGCCCTTTTCTGAATTCTTGGGAAGGTTTATAGTTAAATGTTAGTAGTGCTAAAAAAATATGCAAAACAATTTTTCAAGAAGCTCATCAAATTCATCTATGTAGTTTGTAAAGGTTTGGATGTTCCCTAAAATGGGAGTAAGCATCTCTTCCACTCTCCTTTATAAACATTTTTATTTAAGATGGGAAGCCACCATACTGGAAGGAATGTTGGGAAAACTTTGGCCGGGGGGCCAAAGGGGGGTCACTCTTATTGTTTTATTTTGCTAATATATTTACAATACTTCCTATGCTGAAGTATCTTGAAGTGGTTTATAATGCATAATGTACCTACATAATAATGCATTAAACCAATATTCAGTAAACTTTTAAAAGTTTGCTTTCTAGAGGCCAGTGTGGTCATTGCTGGAGACAGTAAGACACCACCAGAATGGGCAAAGCAAATTTTTGGTTTGCTTTTTTGAGTCTATTTTAAGAGGGGGTGGAAGGGGTGTTTAGTAGCAAAATAGTGTTTCAGCACAATTTTGATCCCCCCATTCCTAGAGAAAAACCTGTAAGGCTTAAAGCAGACATGTCAAACTCGTGACGTCACATGACGTCGTGCAACGTATCGGGACGGTTTTGCCATTGCCAGCAATGGGGTGGGCGCGGCTTCTGGATGACGCGTCTGGCCTGCGCGGGCCGGCAGTTTGACACCCCTGGCTTAAAGTATCTCCTACTTTACAAGAATGTCTTTAGACCCCACAGAGAGTTTTAGAAAATAATGATGATAACAGGCTAGTTCTTTGGAAACTGTCCAGAAAAACTGAGTCTAGTGAGGGGTCATAGAAAAATGTAGCAACTGTATCAGATTGTTTTCTGGTAAATGGGTATTTTGTAATATTCTGGAGACAAGCCATTTTGTGACATATGAATTAGCAAGCTCTTCCATCCCAATAGCAGTCATTTTTCCCTGGTACAGGTTCAAAATTCCAAATGTGCTTATTGCCCGCCCCGCCCCCCCCCCAAGGTGGAGGAATATTTTAAATTTCCTAGAAAATGTCTGTTCTTTTGCAGATACAGTGAAGATTTAGAGCTTGAAGATGCTATTCATACTGCTATCTTGACATTAAAGGTGAAAAATATTCATTTTAAATTTGATAAAACTTTCAAGTTGACATTTTATTTAACAAAATTATGTATCTTTTCATTACTAGGAAAGTTTTGAAGGACAAATGACTGAAGATAACATAGAAGTTGGTATCTGTAATGAGGCAGGATTTAGAAGACTCACTCCAACTGAGGTTAAGGATTATCTGGCTGCAATCGCCTAATCTGGGTTGATGAGAACATACAAGCACTCTCACTTTTTAACTTCACCCATTTAAATTGGTGGTTTCTGCACTCTCATTTCTACTTTGTTAATCCAATAGGGTTTTTTTTTAAGAAAGAAAGAATGGAATCGCATGCTACTGAATTAGTTAAAAGCGTTAAACAATGTACGAGAATATTTACACAATCTGAAAAGAATACATATAAAAGGTGGTATGCTTTCTGGGTAAATTTCCAAAAGACTTCATTGTACTAAATTCAGGTATTGCTAAAATTGCTTCAAAATTCAGATTTTGAGTCCAAGAAGCCATTCAGTTGACTAAAGTGGTAACGGCTCTGTAAAGCTTTGTAAATGTAGGGCTGCATGACTAGACCTAGTATGTAGGTTTTCCATAGCAGAAGTCATACTGGAAAAACATTTGTTAAAAAAAGAGCCAATGACTTATGTATATACTGAAGGCTTTTGGATGTATTGTTTTTTAAAATGTGAATCATTAGGAGGGACAGGAAACCTGCCAAGCATCTAGAGAAGTATCTGTGGGCACATTGGGCATCCCAGGTTTACTTTGGTGGTAGTTCTTTAAAGCTTCAGATGGAAATCAGGGGCTCTGCTGATGAACTGGCTCTTGTCTTTCTCTTGGAAACCTTAGGTGAGCATTCTGAACAGGGTAGCAGTAGTGTCTGTAAAATTATTTTGAAGGGGATTGGGAAGAAATAGATCTACAGTTGCAAGAAAAAGTATGTGAACCCCTTGGGATAACGCGGAATTTTGCATGAATTGGTCATAAAATGTGCTCTGAACGTCATCTAAGTCACAACAATAGAAAAACACAGTCTGCTGAAAATAATAATACACAAACATTACATGTTGTCATGGTTTAATTGAACATAACATGTAAACATTCACAGCGCAGGGAGG